GCTGGTACCCATTTGTACACCTGGGTGAAGAGAAGCACTGTGAGAGTATAGTGTCTTGCCTAAGAACACAACACAATGACCACAATTGTGGAGGTGCGGTGGCCTCATGGTTAGTGCGCCTGACTCCGGATCGAGTGGTCCGGGTTCGAGCCTGGTCAGGGTCAGTTGTAGGGAGTTGTGTGTTAATCATATTTCTTGTGATAACTGAGAATTAAAGGCAGCATTTTTTTCATCATTCAGAGAACTTGTTAAGTAATTAACAACTAAGAAGTAAGCCAACAGTACCTACCCAATTGAACAGGAGGTGAATGAATTCTCTTGAAGGAGCATGGAGTCTTTTTAAGTATCTACAAATCCTTTCAAACCCCACGCTATCTTTAAATGCTTCCTGAAAAATATCAATAATTTGAATTCATTTGGCGATGGAGCATGTGGGCAGAGATAATAGATAGTTAAAAATGAAATGAATAAGAATTTAGCAGTGACACATTCACAAAGCAACTCTTTGACCACCAACACTGTTGATGGTTGATTTAAATTTAGGTGTGAAGGAAGGAATAAAGTTGAATATGCTGAATGATCTATAAATTGTAACAAGACATTTAATAAAAATTTGATTTGGAAGACAAACTAAACAAAGCTTTGTCTTAAGAGCACTTTAGGGAAGTTGGAAATGTAAAGAGAACAGTATGAAAAAAATGTATACAACTGTAAGAATGCGAAGGGCTTATCCAAAGTACATCATGGTAACCACTTAAGCAATGGCTCCTGCACTATCAACTACAACCTTGTACAATTTATCAAAACATGTCATACACTTTGGTCACCTTTGCTGCTTGTGAGGCACACATGATTCTTTGAATTGCCAGCACACAGCTCTTGTACAGCACATTTTGTGTCTCTTCATTTTCACACTGTTTAAATAAGTAACATCAATTAATACTTAATAACTCAAAATACACAGTTAGACTAAAATTCCTGGTCACTTTAACTCTATAACTCTATATAATCAGATCTTGAGAGTTAAAGGGTTAAATTCAATTTTATTTCTTAATTATTGCAAAACCCTTAATTACTAACAAGGTCAAGATTTTAAATCCAGGAACAGTTTGAATTGAAGTAAAAGCATAGCAAAATAAGCAAAAATGAATTATTTGAGTGAGGAGTGGTGCAGAGGGAGCTGTCAATCAAATTAACACATGTATGTCATATTACAGACTTCTAGAAACTGGTTTTAGATAAGTTTTATGGACCCATGCGAAAAGGATAAAAACATCATCAATTGAGAATTGCTAAATTTAGCTGTAGGAATCATCCAAAAAGTTTTCAGAACATCTGACCTCAAAGTTCAAAACAGAGATGACAGGTTCAAAACTTCCAACTCCAAGAAATATAGCCTGTTGAAAAAAATTAACTAATATCATGTTGGTATCATAAAAAGTCAAGTAATTATGATGATTAAAATCAACGTCATTTATGAAGACTTGAATTAAGAGAAATTTGTCTTAGAGATAAAGATGAGAGTGACTAGAATCTAAATTCTCCTCACAGTATCACCCCTGAATCAAACAGTAAGGTCAGGAGAATAAAGGAAATGATCACCAAGTAAAGAAGCTCTTGATTGTTAAACAAATTCTCCTTGTCAGCATCTTAGGAAATGTACATAGAACAGTGAGGATATGCATACTGATATTAACCCGTTAACTCCCATGAGTGACCAAGACAGAATTTCTCCTTACAATATCAATACAATATCAACCAGATAAGTGATGAGAATAAAGAAAAATATCAATTTAGGGATAATTAGTTGATCCAATACCAAATTCTATGAACTAATGTCATAAGAATTGTATGGTTGACAGTAAGGAGAATTAAAAATTTGATCTGGGAGTTAAAGGGTTAAGATGTTAAGGATCAAAAGCCTCTTAGTCACCTGAAGAACTGCTGAGTTATCACAATCCAGAATCTTAGGAATTGCATCTAGATATAAGAAAGAAAATTTCTTGGTTAACCAATACTGCTAAAAAGTGTTGAAAATTTTTGAGTTCTTATTTTTATTTCTCATAAATTCACCAGACACTTACCCACCATGAAGACAGTACTTGAGAAATGAGCTTGGAAACCTCTAAAATTGTCCATAAATGCACAAGAAAACATTTAAATTCATATTAAATTATTGGATAGTCAAAATTGAATAACTTCTGTCAAATGTTAACTAACTGAGCATTGCATTCATCATTTTCTGAGATATACTGTATCTAACGGCATGTTACCTGAGCTGTATAATTTCTAGGAATCTCTTCAACAATGAAGGTGTATCTACAAGACACTAAAAATAGACAATAAAATGAAATCAAACTTTGATGTTACATCAGACACTTTACTCCAGCTTCTGTGACTTCTCTTCAAGATCGCAATTTTGTAATTCTCCTTACTATCTGCCAAACAATTCTTAAGATGCAAGTTTGGAGAATTTGGTGTTAGATCAAATAATCATCCCTTAATCTTAGTTCTCATCACTTGTCTGCTTAATATTGTACTAATATTGTGAGGAGAAATTATGTCTTGATCACTGATGGGAGTTAAAGGTAAATATTACACTCACATGGACTTGTTGCCTTTTGTTAAGATTTGCTTGGTGGATAAGATGTATCATTTTGACAAGACATTTAACAGCTTGTTCTTGTTTCTGGTCATCTGAAGTAACAGTGACTGTGTTGCTATTTTGGCATGGGGGTTCTTCATTGCCGTCATCTTCTAGTATTCTAAACAGGCTCTCTGCAGTCTCTGGAGAAATATCAGTTGCTACACACTCCTGAATTAAAAAAAAAAAAAAAAAAAAAAAGGAAGAGAAAAAAACAACATAGAGGTGAAGTAACCGCTGGCGCCTAATGACACAATTAAGGAGGTATATCACAATTTTGTTTAAAATTAGTTAAGAAATTATTCATATCGAGGTATGATTCATTATCGAAAAGTCAAACAAACAAATTAAAGGTGATAAAAGAGAAGTCCATTTCGTATGAGATATCTGCATAGACAGAGTTCATTGTTTGTATTGTAAGGAAATCGTTGCAGATTACAATTTAAACTGTTTTGTTGCTATTTTTGTTTTCTTTGGTTTCACGCGAAAGATTTATGGTATGTGTGGGAATTAAACTCATAGTGGGTAGAGTTTACGATAATAACGAGCGTTTGATCACGGCTTTTTCGTATCAATTTGTAAAAGTAAATTAAGACATAAAATATTCATCTTGCATTAAAATTCATCGACAAGTGTTACGTACGGAAATGATAAGATACTTCAACCATGGAATAAACTAGACGGTACCTACAAATTCGAAAAATGTTTCTATGTGCTACTCGATGGCAGAAGATGTTAGAATTTTACAAAAGATTTTGACATACCACGCTGTTGAGGTAATTCCAGATTTCATCCGGACTGCGCTCTATTCTACAAGAGGTAAGTGAACCCGGAATAAACGATCATCATCAACAAAAATTATAGCGGTAAATTATCAAATTACTGCGAGCATTCGCGCAATTTCAAACATTTTCTACGATGACGCATTTTAGCTGAGAATATGAATAATTTGAAAATTATTCTTAGGAAAGTAGTGAAAATCATGCAGAGGAAAACAAAAAAACTTACCTGTCACTCAGATCCTCTCTGACTATGTCTTCGTCCACATCCGCCATTTTTGTTTTGGTTGACTAATTGTGTAAAATCGCTCCAGGTCATCTGGGATTCTCACCTTGAGCATGATAGCAGACTGGTGTCGAGTCCTCTGCGAATGGATTTACCGTTATGGAACAGACCAAAGGAACGTCCTCCAAACGAGATAGGGACACCAGTGATGATCGTTTAAGATAATAATGTAACCAGTGAATCGTCGCGTCTAATTCAGATGACTTAAATCGCAAGGAAAAAAAGCGACCAAGAAATAAGGTTTCAGAGAGAACCTGTGATGTGTTGTTGCGCTTTCTTGTAGAGTAGACCATTGTGCATAAATCATTGACCCTGTTTGATCTTGACAGCCGGAGCTTAATTTAGCATACGGTAATAACAAAAATCCCACAACATGTCGAAAAGGGCCGATTTGCACGAAACTTTGCCATTTTTAGACTTGATATCAAGATACTTTAGATATTAGCACCCGAGTGCTGCACTGTAAATTCGAGGGTAAATAAAGTTTATTGATTGATTGATTGATTGATACTGATTGAGAAACTTAATTAGACCTTGAAGATCAGCAGTGTAATGAGAATGTAGCATGCCCCTGTGATGCGTTCATCAGTGTGTACGTCCATTAATGTGTGTAACTTTCGCGTTGTTGCGGTAGTCAGAGCTCCCTATTGCGTTAGAGGTGTTAAGTACTCTTCACCGATAACTGAAGTCCGTTTTCTGTGACGCACAAAATATAGCAAAATGGACAGAATTCAAAAGTTGTGCAAAGCCTTAACTACGTCTCAGGTTTGCTTGACTTTCCCTTCTTCCCTCAACACCCTCGGAATCAGAGGTCACGTAAGCATATGTCTCAACAAATATCCGTACTTCCATGATTATTTCAGGATACAAAGATAAGAAAAGCATTGTAGTGCATTGAAGACCAGTTTTCTTTAGAAAAACAAAACCCGACAAATTTTTTTAATTGAAACCTTTAAAGAGGTCATTTAAAATTGTTTTCCAGCTGTGCTGCTCAGTTTATTGTGCATCATTTCAAAGGAGCACAAGAATAATATGAATGTTTCAACAGCTGATGATGTGAGAAAAAAGACTGATTCTTTAGAATGCCAAGATAAACAGAAAGTAATACAAAACAAAACTTCAATCATCCGAAATTATATTCAGCATTGTTGACAAGTCTTTGGAAAATTACCAAATAGTTCCATTTTCCACGCGTACAGTGCCGAGCCAAGTCGACTGGCGCTAGCGCATGATTGGCCGTTCAAAAGGTCATATTCATTTTTACGGAAGGTATGTAACGCAATTATCAGTTTCTCTTCACTCTCACAATGATGGGTTCTGTCTCTCTTCATACAGTAGCAGTTCTCTGCCTTATCTCCTCTGTAAATGGATTTTGGGTTTGGAACAGACCAACGGAGCGTCCTCCAAATGAGATACAAACACCAGTCATAATTGGTAATTAAGAATTGTTAATTTTACAATCTATAGCCTTTCTTAAGGCCAATTTAGATATCAGGGAACATGCGATCAAGAATCCTTCTAGAGTTAGACAGAAAATCTCCAATCTCCCCTCTTGGCTTCAGAAAACATATAGTTTCGTCGGATTTTGCTTCATAGTTAGGCTTTTGCTGGGCCCTTTCAAGCCTCCATAATTTACAAATAGCGCGCAATTTATTTTACATGCAAATTACGTAACTGTCCATAATTTTGCTCTGTTTCGGTTTTGCATATATTTGATTTTTTTTTTCTGAGAATGATCCTTAACCCAAGATCGAAACTCGACTGAGCATGATTAAAAGCGAAAATCCTGATATTTCTTTTAACGAGATTCTAAAATAAGTATGAACGAATACAGTTTTCTGTGATGGTCTAGTCGGTCAACGAAATAAACACGCAACAGCAAGTATAAGTTGAAACGTGATCTCATGTAGACGTCACGCATCATCGAGGAAGTTTTTGTGCAATAAGCAAATTTACCTTTGACAGCAAGTAAACAACAATGGCCTCACAAAAGGTAGTCAAAAACGCAAATTACCGGTTTCATTTGATAGAAAATCGCCCGATAAAAATCAAAGTAACTACTACCAATCTGGCCTCATCTATTGTAGAAGGCAGATTCCTCCGGGATCCCGCTTCGTTTTTACCGGGATCCCGCTTCGTTTTTAGCGGGATCCCGCTTCGTTTTTACCGGGATTCCCGCCTTGTCCATGATATTTAAGTCGTTCATTTTAACCAAAAAGCTTTCAATCAAACCACACCCACCAGGGTAGAGACAGTGATACCTCGATGTATGATTTGCTTTTGTTTCTCTCGTCAGTGCCTGGAACCGGTGGAAGCCAACTTCAAGCCAAACTCAATAAACCAAACACTCTTCATTGGTACTGTTCCAAAACAACCGATGACTACTTCACATTGTGGCTAAAGAAGTCCTCGCTCTTACCCTTTGCTATAGACTGTTGGGCGGATAATATGAGGTGGTAAAAACCTTTCACTGTGGCTCAAAATCGTTTTAAATAACCTTTAGTAGCTCACTGACGAAGAAAATTATTATGTTATTGGAGGGCAAGTCAATATTAAAAGGCAACGTGATTATCAGTGGTTTATTGATTCGGTTTGTTGTCATTTGGCTCAATATTCTCTCTTTTCCTTAACCCTACTTCTGTCCTGTGGTCACGCATCATGTCTATCAAAGATTGCGTGACCCAATCTGGGGAATTATCTTATTTGAGTGGAGCAAATGAAAATGGCTTTGCTATCAAAATATGAAAATGTGCTAATATCTTTAAGGTTTGCAGCCTCCCCTCAATAGTCACATGAGTAGAATGAATACAATCATAATTCTAATCTCGTTGTTTTCTTTGTTTTCTGACAATAATTAGACTTGTGTATGATGAAAGCACTAAGACCATGAAGAACGCGCCGGGCGTGGAAACAAGAGTTCCCGGATTTGGTGAGACCAGTACAATCGAATACTTGGACACGACCGGATTGATTAAGTATTTTGCGCCAATGGTAGAGACCTTGGTCTCTTGGGGATACCAGCGTGGGGAGACTGTCAGAGCGGCTCCATATGACTTCCGCTATGGGCCTGGTAAGTTGCACGTGAACAGTGCTTGTTGAACATATACACTCTACTTGCTTGTTGAGAATTCACTCTCGTCCCCATAGCTGCTCGGCTCTATCATCCGAAAAGACCTTGGTACCACAAATCGAACGGATCCCTCTGCTAAATAAGATATTTTCAATTTTTCTTCCAGAATCACAGTCAGAATATTTTTCAAAACTGAAGACATTGATCGAGGATACATATTCTGCAAATGGCAACAACAAGATAACTTTGATGAGTCATAGTTTAGGATGTCCGTATACTTTGGTTTTCCTGAACAAACAAACACAAGACTGGAAGGATAGATATATTTTACAATGGATAACTCTTTCAGGTAAGAAAAAGAATAAAAGCGATTTGAGCTTTGAAGCCCATAGCTCGTGTTTAGAGACATTTTTAGCTATGTGTCTGCATCGGATGTTTGTATTGGTTTTGCTCTACTAAGTTTCGAAAATTTCTTGTCACGTTTTTACCTATCAGATGGAAAACTGAGACCCGTGCTCAGGAATTGAGTTTGTTTATTCTGTGCCACAGTTTCATCAGACATGCTCACGCAAAAGTGCGCAAAACATCGTATTATTTGCAAACTATGTTTTCTTCTTTTTTTCTTCTAAGGAGTGTGGGGCGGGACTGCAGAGCAAATTAGCTTGTTTTCTTCCGGAAACACGTTCGGGATCCCGAAGATCCTCGTGAATCCGTTGAAAGTCAGAGGCGAACAGCGCACGGATACAAGTAACGTTTATCTGCTCCCAAGTCGAGAATTATGGTCTGCGGATGAAGTCTTGGCGATAACTCCAGAGCGTAACTACACTGTCAAAGACTACGACGGTTTCTTCCAAGATATTGACTTCCCACTCGGGATAAAACTACGAAAATTAGTCGAAAACATCACATATCCGTTAACAGAGCATTCTCCGAAAGTAACTGTTCACTGTTTGTATGGAACTGGGGTAAAAACAGGAGAGAGGTACCAGTTCAAAGAAGGAGAATTTCCGGATACTCAGCCAGATGTTATCTATGGTGACGGGGATGGAACAGTGAATAGACGCAGTCTAGAGGCCTGCAATAAGTGGAACCAGCGGCAGCCGAATAATGTCACCGTGAAAACATATCCAGGAGTGAATCATAATGGATTGTTGAGCGACGAGAACGTGCAGAATTATATAAAGGCTCTCTTGTTTTGATTGTAAACTATGGCTTTCAAAGATCCAAATCACAACTTGAAATTAAACAGCTTGGCTCTTTTTTCCATTTTGATCTTCCAAGTTGTCGTTTTTTTCTTCTCTTTTTCTTTGTTTTTTCTATCACTTATTTCCCCCAATGACCATAAAAAAAGACTTTCTTTAATCCTCTAACCCCTAAGGGTGACCAGCATCGAATTTCTCACAAGGATACCCCTGCTGGATTAAATATCAGGCTTAAGAGAATACAGGAATCGATCGCAACTTTAAAAATCTCTTGATTTCTCTCCTTGTCAGCGCCATTGGAAATGCATAAAGAACAGTATGGGGAATACACATGTTGATGTTAGGGTGTCAAGGGTTAAGGATTACAATTATTTACTTTATTTCTTTCCGAGCCATAGGCTAACATCTATACAGTTCTGAGAAGAATTGAGATTGGCAGAGGCTGTTATGAGAGCTGTGACAATTTTACGTCTCAAAACAATTGTCACACAATGACTGTTATGTAAGGAAATAAAGCTGCTTGTAAAGGTCCGCTGCTCTCAGTATGCAGTTTACTTTTGGAAAGCAAATATTGGCACACTTTGTTATTGAAACCAAGCGAAAGCTATTCAAAATTCTCTTTCATCTGTCTCGTTCATTGTGCGTCATTTTAAACGAACGCGAGAAATGTTCCAAATGTTTTAACAGGTGGTCATGAGAAATTACAAATAAATTTATCTGAATCCAAAAAAAGTTTTTGGCTCCTATCGCATTTTTTGGCCTAACTTTAAGTTTAATGTTGAATTTCAACTGAGATGTTAAGTGAACATGGAAAAGATGCGAGGGAAGTCGTAGTATGGAACAGCTGCAAGACTACTGAGTGATATCACAGTATACAGTTACCAAGTAGAATGATTGCACGAGGATAGATTAAAAAGACCACATGGGATGGAAAGCAACGGAGGAGCGCGTGTCTCTTTTACTGAAGTAATAAATAGATACACAACATACATAATTCGCAGTCGACACCTAACTCTCATGATGGTCAGCACAATTTTTCTCGAAACAATAGCACTGATTTGCTTCTTCTCCCCTTTAAATGGACTTTTGCTGTGGGACAGACTAAGGGGAATATCCTTCAAACAAGATAAAGACGCCTGTTATCATCGCTAACTATGAATTACCATTTAATTTAAGCGATAATAATTTATCGTTTTCTCACGGCGGATTTAGCAAAAAAAAAAAATTTCTCGAACGAGCAAGCTATTAAGACTACTATGAAACCAAGACTTGATAAAGAACCTGTGATGCTGGTTGTAAGCTTGACAAAATATGTTGTTTCGCCGAATTTCGTGTGATAGCTCATAGCCAGTCCTTTAGAAACCTTTTTCAAGCATAAAATTTAAAATCGCGCACAATTTATCGAACTTTTTGGTACTTACCTTCGAGGGTACGTAATTCGCGATTAATAAGCTTTTATAGTCCGAGGGGGTAGGGTGTAAGGTCAAGCTTCTTGAGATAGAAAAACACCAAATAAAAATCAAGGTGCGCAATACTAAAGTAGCCTCATCCAGAAGTCGGCAGATACCCACGTTACTTTGATGAAACTCCTCTGGATCCTGCTGAGATGTTGGCGGGATTCCCTCAGTATCGATCATCTTGCTCTTAAGGGAAGGGGGAGGATCACATGGTTTTCAGGGAGAACGGGGGGGGGGGGGG